AGATAGAACCCCCGGACGCAGCCATGGCAGACTGTTTCAACATGGAATGCAAGTTAAAACCGAACTCCGCCTCTGCCATTCATCCCTTCACTCGCTCCGACTGCTACATCCGTGACGTACAAGTGTGCAGACACTCTTTCGCAGTATACGGATCTCGAAAGTAGCCGTGACATAATTTGCAGATGAAAAAGGGGTTGATATCTGCCATACGCAGAGTTTCCTGGAAAACGACAAATAGAAAGACAAAGATCCACAACTAAGCGATTGCTACCGCAGACCTCCGCGCAACAACGTTCCGCAGAAGCGTGCGACGTCCACATAGTATACGCTGATCACTAGAGTACCTACTGTGCGTGCTTCCATGAACAACTGGCGGTAGGATGCGTCGTCTAGGGACGGAGCGACCGCATCGGTCGGCGCAGACGAGCGCTTCGCCATAACTAAATTATGTCGAGAGTAGACCAATTGATTGAATTACGGAACTCATTGAGACATTGAGAAACTACGCTATCGCATGTGGCCAGGTCAGGTTTTAGGCATGGGTATAGTGTTTGCGCTGTCGTCGTCGTCGTCGTCGGTAAAAGAAGACGAAGCCAAGGATGCATGCCACTGGGACTGCCATGAAAAACACGGCGAGTGCGAACAAAGTAGTGGCGAAGAACGAGTCCGTCTGATGGCGGCCGTCCGCCCCAGCCAACCGGTTGTCTGAACTCATGGATGGCTCCACCGGCTCTAGCTGCCACGACGCGTTTCCACTGAGCAAAGCTCCGGCTGCTTTTTCCGACTCTGTTGGCTGGGCTGGTACTGGCGCCGGCAATGGGGTGGTGGAGCTGGACGCACTTTCACACTCACATTTGCTGGGATACCGGGGCTCTTGAATCTGCTCATACGCGTGCTGGCGCGTTGTGAGTAGCTCCTGCAATTCAACATGTAGTCGAGTCGAAAGCGCTTCGAGTTGTCGGCGCGCTGTAGTCACTTGTTGCATTTGAAAGCGATGCGCTGTAACCATCGCGTGACGCAAATGTGTCATGCTGTGGACCATGTTGCGTTGCGGCATGGGTGGTGTTGCATCGTATCCGCGATAGATAGCGAGATGTCCGTGGCTCTGGCCACGGCTGTAGGTCAGAGCGACCCAAAAGAAGCTGATCCACCGCATTGAGGACTGCTGCTTTCGTGACGCAATGACGAATGAAGACGTTCTCCGGCCTCGAAGGACTGCTGCTACTACCCATCAAGTGTCTCGTGTTGTCTCCTTGACCAAGAGCCCCATCGATCCATCAGTTGAGGATGCAACGTTTGGCCAGTAGGTTTCCATTCAGTCTTTCAAAAATGCAGTTCAATCGAGACTTACGAAAGTGAAACTCCATCAGAATAAGATGTCAACCGATGTCACCTTGGTTGACGTCTTGTTCTGATGGAACGTGATCTTTGATTTGTAATGCGAGTCCGATCTTCAGTAAAATAGTGAATCCAAATGCGAATTGCTCAAAGCCGTGATGGTGTTCCTGTAACGCAACACTTGAGCATCAATCAGTCAATAGACGCAGGTCACTTCAATGATGTCGTGCGTCAATACGATAGTTGACGATCAACACGAGTACACGGTCATCACATCGTTGTAGCGTAAGCAACGCCATCAAGGATACCGCATCGACAAGAAAACGGATGGCTGTAGAGAGACTCAGAGCCAGAAAAATGTGAAATACACAGGTGTGAGTGTAAACTGGAGAAACAAGCGTGCGCTAAGCGCTGCTAAACAACGAGCTTTGAACGAGGAGGCTCCTTTTTGCTACTTTGCTGAAAGCGTGCGAGCCGGTTAGCGCAACCGTTTAAATTTCGCATGACAGAGTTTGTTACCACACCTATTTGAAGCTGGCCGACAACGCGTAACGACCGTTCGATACGAACATCAACTCTCCACCCATTTTGAGCCTGTGAAGCTTGAGGCTTGCAATTGCGCATCGGTCTCTTAAGCCAACACAGATCAAGACGCCTCGACCCCAACAATGCCATTCCAATAGCAACACGTTTGTGTGTGGGACCATTACTACACTTACGAGAGTCCATCAAGCACGTATTCATAAATCATAGCTTGAACCTGAAAGCTCGTCTGTCATTCATGCATTGCGACATTGTGACATAAAAGCCTGCGAGTGTTTATTGACATTAGCACACTCTGACCATTTGATGCGTGTGCGCACGTCTTGCATACAACATTTGCACTTTAGTGATCAGCCACTCGACGGGTTCTCAAATCGCTTGTTATGGAAAAAGGTTAATCTTTTGTCGGGCTGCTGCAATGAAATGCACGATATACTTTGATATGCATTGTGAAGTTACGCAATATCGCTTCCTGCACTTGCACTTCTTGCGTGCGAGAAAGCGTGGAGCTGGCATTGATACCATACATATCAGAGCACAGTGCAGTGTAACGAGAAAATGTATGCTGTAGTGGGGGGAATTCGTTCCATATGTTAACTATAATGCCAGGTGTCGGTGTGAATATTTGCTCGCTGAATACTTTTCAGCCAATATTTGTTTAGAGATCAATATTTACCAAAATTTAAAAAGTAGTACAACATTCAGCAATGCTTATTAGTCGATCGATTTCGCCGATATTTCTTATTAGATTATTATTTAGATGTACATAGATTGCTCATATTTCTTCGTTGATCACTATTTGTCAGTACGGCCTTATGCACTAATTAAGCCAATCAACGGAATCATTTTCAGCAGGAGGTCACGACACACTGCTCATCGGCTTGCATAGACCTCGACAGCATCAGCAAGAGTAAATCGCAAATCCAGCACCATCCAGATGCAAACATTACAAAACCCGCACCAGTTGCATAACCAGTACCACTTCGTGATGGATCAAATGTGTACCACGCTACTCTATGGGTGACTGAATAATGAAAGGCTCCAGGTGCCAAGAGTAAAATTGACATAAATTAGATATTATTACTGCATTGAGGTGTCAGACAAACGGCCCGATCGACGCAGGTGAGGTTCATGGTGCCACAGGACTGGTGCGACCCCAGCTGCCCACTGCAATGAAAAGCTCGCTGCGAGAATTTTTTCCCTGGTTCATGTGCATGCTCCAATGATGGCTTTTCCATGTTACAACTGTAATCGCCGTGGCCGGCATCTGTAACGGGGCACCCTTTGTTTGGGTGCCGCGAAACTTCACTTACACTCGTACGTGCAGAGGAAGCTAATCTACTCATACCGCTACTTTTAGTAAGGGTAAAAAAATAGAACTGTATGTAAATGTTAAGCTATCAATATAACTTCGGTCTTTATCGAACTACGTTAACCTCCATTGTCGTAGGACGACTACCTGCTGACCACCCTTTACGCGCGTCTAGCAGCTGTGGTGAAGCGAGTTTTTGGAATGATGGACTTAACAATCGATGAGCCGAATGAACATGGGACCTCGCGGCCAGGAAAGGAACCGGACTTCTAAGGGTTACAGGAAAGGAGGGGCGGCTCCAACTGTGACGAGCGGTCGAGATTAATGCTAACGGTGTCAAACCGACCGACGGTACCAGCTGAACGGTACCGATATGTATCGTTCTCAAGCACTCGTCCGTCGGCCTGGTCGTCCAAGGTATGCCTCGGTCACCCGTGGGCCGACCTGGCCACCCATCAGCCCATCAAACAACCTGGTCACCCACAAGTCGACTTGGACCCTCGAGGTCTGGTGGATCCTGGCCACTCATCATAGCGAACCCGGGTGAATGGAAAGAATAGAGTAAAGGATTCTAAAGGATAGGATAACTTTAATCACTACTCAATTTGCGGTCTAAGTAGCACGACGTGCCGTGTGCTAAGAAATTTGTAAGTCTACCGACCTGTTTCGGGCCAGGGATCTATTTGGCCCACCCGTCGAATCGACAGTTGTCAGTAAGACACAAGCGTAAGTGGAACACCAGGAAGTATAATTTCCTAAGGGTTCGTAGAGTAGCACCACACCCAACTCGAGCCCGCTGGAAGCTGCCTCCATACTCTAGTAGTAAGGGAGAAGACACGTATAGACTAGGAATATAACACCCCTGAGACAAGTAAAGGCCAGACGCTACCAGATCCTGACGACAACTGATTGTAAATTTACTCTCGACAAAGTCGATCGAGTGTCCGCCTACATTGGGCCCCGAATGAAGCATATCCGCTCAGGCTTCCCCTCCCAGGTTGACCTTCATCAAGGCCGATTTCTACATCATCACCAAGTCCTCCGAAGAGTTAACCCCGCCAAGCCGACGGGTACACAAGGTAAGTCAAGGTCCACAAGCGGCATCATGGTACTCCCTCCAACAGTCGGCAGTCCGGCACAGTGAGTTATTTGGGGTCTCGTCAAACCGTTTTGGCAACAAACTTCACCACAAAGCGATTATTGGCAATTTTGGTATATATGTGTTTTTAGCAACCAATCTTCGAGCAGCACATTACAATTATCTTAAGAAAGTATACTCTTTCAAAATTACCTATCCCAGGTTATTATGGCAGGAGATTTTTAAGTCAGGCAATCTTCCTATTCACACCGTTTAGGGTACAGTATCATGTAGCGGGACACCCTGTTGCATCATCGCCGCCCTTAACCATCAATCACCCCGATGATTGAATAACATTTATTTGGGACAGGGTGATACTTTTTAGATACCTTCTAGAAAGGGGAGCACTTGTTGGTCAAATTCCAACTCATTTGCCAATTCTTCGCATGCTTCAAAGTCCATGCGGTGCGCTGCGGAAGCAGCCAAAAAGGCGGCTGTACGCATGCGTGCAGCAGAGGAGTGATGTTTTCAAGCCTCAGCAGCAGGCTGCGATTCGCCTGCTTTTTCAAGTGAGCAACAGGCAGTGCCTGTTGCGACTAGTCCACGTGGTGAGTCACCACGTGTGACAGATACATCCTCTGCGTCTGCAGCGGGGGCTACGACTAGCAGTGTGGATGAGCCTAAAATTGATCTCATCTATTCTGGCGAGTCGGATGATGCATCCGACTCCTAGGCGGCGCCTACTGCCCCCAAAACACGCGGAGCGGGAACTGCCAGAACCCGGTTGACTGGATCCGGGAACATGGGGCTATCACGTCCGAGCTCTTTGGACCGAGCGATTCGTCTGACGAATCCTCGTCTCACGCCATTCCATATGACACTTGGACGCGTGGTGGTGGTGGTGATGCCCCTGTGCATCACCACGAGAGAAGCAACTCGAGAGACCGAGCAGACACTGCTGTAAGTATTCATGCTGACACCACTCAAGAGGCCAGGGACCGCAATGTCCTGCGCCATGCTCCTTAAGTGGAGTCTCCTTAGATGTCATCATCCAAAGAGTTAGATCGAGTGGCCGGTATGACCACCGAAGGGGTCGAATCCCGTTGTTCGACTGTAGGAGGATCTGTCCTCCCAATTCCAGCAAGTAAACTGTTCGTGCTGAAGAAGATTTTTCATCGATGCGTTTTTCAAACATCGGTGGTACAACGGCAATCGTGGCCGCGATGGTAAGACCTTGGTGCAAGGAATGCCTTCATCAATAATATTGAGTGTATTGGCCGTGAGGCTTGGCTCGGTAAACTTGATGCAGCTCGCATCAGGTTTGAGAAGCGTAACCCAGTCGGGGCGCGATGCAAGTTGCACCGGCTATCAAGAGAGGCAGGATTACCTTGTTTCTCTTAGGGTGATTCGTGTCCAGGTTGCCTGAACAACTCGAATCGTGCCCCTAGGAGGCCTACCTCCCTAATGATCCCCACTGGAGGGCGCGCATCTCTTCCGATATTGCCGAAGGGGTTGACACCTTGCAATCCCTGTACTCGCATTCGGAGAGGTCGTTTTCCGACGACCCTTCTTCGAAGGCAGCGGGTGGTTCTCGTCATATTGCTCGACGAGACCCAGAACATCAGCGATCAGCTGGGCACAAGGCTCCCAGCTGTCTCAAGCCGGTGGATAGCCACGCCAGCGGACGAGGTAACTCGTCCGGACGCCATTCACGTCGCGTTAGTTCACAATACGCTCCATCAGGAAGCGTTGACCAACGCCAGAATCCATCAAAGGATGTGGTGGTGGCGGAAACACCTGATCCGGACCGAGGGTCAAATCAGCTTGATGTCCAGGGTCTAAATCGTGTAACGGAACAGTTACTCAATGACCTGGATCATAAACGGACTCGGCGTAACGAGCTCCACGACCTTATAAAGAATAAATCACAATTTCTTAGCGCACGATCGTTCGAACGATCGTGCCACGTTTGCGTTTGCGCAACTTGAGAAAGAACGTTCGACACGTTCTCTTCATCACGAGGTGACTGCAGCTCGTCTGGACATCGCTCAACTGCGTGACCAGGTCGCTGCGCTAGACGACCAGACTGGCTTTTTCAAACGAGGGCCACTCGAAGGTGGTCTCGGCCCCTGTTCGTGGAAGTGATCTTCGCCTCAGGAAGCGAGCTTGTAATGATAGTACGGGCGGAGACGTCCAACGTAAAACGTAGGATGAGTACGCATCCTACGAGGCAGTTCCATCGTATGTGCGTTGCCCATTTGGCGCAACACACCAAATGGACCGATATACTTGGGCAGTAATTTACTGCTGCCCACGTTTGTCACTGCTTGTTTCGGTAGATCTACTGCTGACAGTAAACTAAGTCTCATTAATCAAATGAAAGAACATCTGCTCTTCTATGTTTGTCTGCGTTTCTTTTCTGTCTGTCTAGTGCATCTGCAATAGAGTCTTGAACGAAGCGGACGACCGCTACGCGAGTTACCAGAAATTACTTTGCTGATTCATCCTTTCTAACAGGAGTGCGCTTCGTGTGCAACTGCTGAAAGAACGTTTTTCTTCACCAGTGAGGGCGTCATCGTCCTCTCTGTGACAGTCGTTTGCTTTGCTGAATGTATTAGCATCGTCGTCATCATCGTCATCGGTGTCGATGTAATCGACGTCGTCATCCACCACGTCGACAATGATGTCGACGTGTGATGAGCAAGAACCAGATTTGTTTTTGTTCGAGCGAGTCCACCCACCCCTTAAACTATAGTTAAACCCTAAGAAGGCGGATAAACGTGGATGGCGTAGGCCATTCACGAAGAACGGTGTATGCGTTGTCGACGCATGCACCGAGTTGTTAATGGCGAATTCCGCCATCGGCAAGAATTCTTTCCAAATCGTAAACGAGTAGATACACCCTAGCATTATCTCTTCGAGGACGCGTTTAAATCGTTCCGTCTGACCATCTGTTTCTGGATGGCCAGAAGTCGACATCTTAAAATTTGTTCCAAGTGAACGGAACACGGATCGCTAGAGTTCCGCTGTGAGGCAACCCGTGAAGTCGGAAGTTAGTATCGATGAAGACACGAGCACATCCCCGGGCTGTGATTGACTTTAGTACAGCAACAAGATGTACCATCTTGCTAAACCGATCAACAAAAACAAGTTAACCAGCATTCTTCTGAGTGTCTTTGGGAAATTGAAAGACAAATTCCATCGATACGGACTCCCAGCACTCTGCCGAAATCGGTAGAGGCTGCAAAGGTAGTGGAGCTACCACGGCTTTAAATACAGTGGAAGAAATCACAGTATAACCCAGAGGCTTACGACTGATAGCCGATTATTTCAAAGGAACTAATGTATTAAGTTCAAGAGTCGGCTAGTTCTACGGAACTTAGCGCGGATTCTAAGAGCTATTAGCTCAGACTACTGTAGCTCTAGTAATTACACGCACAATGTGCAAAGAGGAATATTAGAGTCTAAGGACTCGCTAAACCACGACATTTCTACGGAAATGTCAAGTGCAATGTGCGAAAGGGTGGAAGTCTACGGACTTCTGCTGAAAATGAGAACCGAGTTTATTTGATTTTGTATCAAGGAAAATCCCACTTTAAGTACCCTATATTATACAGAACTAGAACCAATACAATTTTTAGTATTCGAGCTAAATAGTCGTTGGCACATCACTCAGTCATCAAATGATGAAGGTACAAAGTACTTCCACGGTAATTAACGTAACTCAGATAAAACCGACTAGTCGGTGTTATCTATTGATTTAAAATCTAAGCCACACTTGTCCCCTATATTGCCTTTGGGAGATCTTCAACCAATTTAGCCGATGGCTAGTGTGACTCCGTTACTCTGCCCCATCAGACTGACCTTAACAGAAAACTTCACTCGACTTGTCTCCTCATTGAGGTGTTACTTTGTAACTTGTCATCATGGACCTACCTGGTCCCTAACGGAAGATAAGGCTCTAGCCAAGTTCCTTGGTGTCGAGGAAGTGGACGATAGCAGTGATAGTGATACTAAAACCCAGGGAAAGGATCAATTCGAAACCAGCGCATCTGTGCGTGAACGTATTCCACGTACGGCACTGAATCCGTTCCCTGAACGTGGTGCCGCGACTGCGCTAACAGCGCTGAATGCGTTGCCTAACGTGGACACCTGCATCATCAGCAACCCTCTTAGATAGGAGCAACAACGCACACTCGATAAAACGGAAAGCGCACGGCGCAAGTCAGAAAATCTGACCACATTACAGCGACACCGTGAATACACATTTATTCCGGCTGACGTGGAAGAACGCATCCGTCAGATAGATGGCCATACTTTGGCAAGGTGGACCACTGGCACCGAGGCGAAAACGCCCACCGATCCCAAATTCCGTAGGCTTTTCAAGAAAGGTTTTTGGAACCTACCGTGATAAGCTTGAGTGAGTATCGAGAAAGACTACAGGAAGCAGGCCAAAGGCACACCGGTTCCATCGATAAAAGGTAATACCCGTCTTGAAGTCGGAGGGTAAGGACGACGTTTTAGAGGATAATGCGTTCATACGCTGGGTTCATGACAATCAACGACTCAGTAGTATGTTAGCTTTGAGAGCAAGTGCCAGTGTGGCAGACATTCGTCTAGAGCGAAAACTTCGCTACGACTTCGCGAAGTTAAAGGCCAAAGGCCGACTGAGGGAAGTTTTGTATTCCTGCTATGCTTCGGCTGCTCCTGCAACCGCGAGCTCACGTCAGTGTTATGACATAAACTCTCCCGCTCTCACTCTGACTAGTGAGAAGTTCGGTACTCGTCAAGACGGGCCTGATCGCGGCGCCCAAAAACGTCCACGGTGTACGGGCAGTCTTGCCGAAGGGGTATCTCATACTCCCATGAGTTTTCAGACTCGGGATACCCACGCCACTTCACCAGGTATTGGTAGTGGCCATGACGACGACGTCGTTGAAGTAACTTCTTTACATGGAACTGGAGGTTCTCATGCCTATCAAGCAACGCCGGTGGCGGTCGGTCTATCGGCTGAGAGCCACTCGAATCTGTCAAAACATATGATTAGCCTATGTGAGACTCTGGGCCAACCCAGCATGCTCTGGACGTAGAGCAGTCTCGACTAGCGACGCTTGAAGGCGATCAAGTCCGTCTTTAGACGATGGAGACACGTCAGACTTTTGTTGAAGCACAGCTGGATCTCTTGAACCGGATGCAACATCCTGTGGTGACGCCAATTTACGAGGGCGCTAGCGACCTCGATTCAACAAGGGATGAATCCCGGTATGGCTTAAGCGTGCCGACATAAAATACAGGGTGAGTACGCAATTTGCGCGGTAAGCTGAGCGCATACGCAAGGCCCTTCTTGGACACGACCGTAAAAGGTCCGATGAAGCGCGGACGCAACTTCGACTTAAATACAGCAGACACCACATTCGTAGGTAGGTTTTCAGTGTTATGTAAAACTTGGTCACCGACCTCATAACTTTCGATACAATTTCTGCCTTTGGCATCTGCTTGTTCGTTTTGTTTATCTTGGCTATCAGCCATTGCGTCCCGCACATATCGTAAGACATTTAACCTTGTTGAAAGGAACTCTCGCCAGCCTTTTTTTTAACAGTGGCAGGGCTGAGACCAGCAAGCCTATCGACGATACCGTTTCCACCCAGACCTGACTCACGGGATGGCATCAAAAATGAAATCGCGCGAGGGGGGGGGGTTGGACCGTTTACATATAACGGCGTATGAATAGTCGATGCATGAACCGATTTGTTCATGGCGAATTCGATTACCGGGCATGGAGCCTAACACCGAGGCGTATCAGCGCACGCGCTGCTTAAAATATTACCTATAACGCGGTTGACACGCTCGGTTTGACCATTGGTCTGCGGATGATCCGCTGTGGACATGTCCAACCTGGTGCCCAGCAAATTGAAGATAGACTTAAAAAAATTCCGGTAAACCGAGGATCACGGTCTGAAACGATTGCCACGGGCAAACTATGTTAACGATAGACCCGATCAATCAACAGTTGTGAT